GACTTCACATGGACAATATTGTCCTCATATTTCTATAATACTGATATTGTTCACTGAAATCGTGTGTCAACGTGTACCAATGTGCTCATCCGCCAAGTTAGTTTGCATATGGTTCGATAGAGCTTTTAAAAAGTTACAAAAGCATATGTTTACCAAACTGAAAAATCACTGACCACTCTAAGAAATCCCAAGAAGACTATTCTCAAGACTGTATTTTATGGGCTTTTTAACTGATATTCAGTAGATTTCGATGAGAAAAATTACGATTTGGGGAGACAGTGATGGCGGATCGGCACATCCTAAACTGATCACCCACTGGGTAGATACTGGACATGCTCTCCATCTATAATTGACCTTAAAATTACATATTTATTCAAATAAGGTAACAATGTTACTGAGAAACATGAGGAAAGATTTCTTTTTGATATCATGGTTGATCGTCGTCGTTCGTCGAATCGTAGAAGTCGGAAAGCTGACTTGCATCTGTAACTAGATTGATGCAGTTTCCGGATGGCATGCGTCGCTTCTCGATTTGCCATCGTTCGAAGGAGAGGAACCAAACTGCACTTGCAATGTGACTGCACGATCCAATATGACGATTGCCTATTGGACAGTCGCATCACCAGTTTAGTATTTGATCGGCAGAAAATTTAATGGTAGGATGAAACGCTTTTCTAGCCCTGTGAGCAGATTGAGTTGGTACACGAATAAGATTTCGATGATTTTTTGCTAGTTGGACTGTGTAATTTACTGCTCCAGTTATATCTGTGGTACAACACCATAAGATGCATAAGATCTCATACCTTTCAGTTGAAAAAGACCTTAAATATAAGGAAAGATTTGAATATCAGAATGAATTCAATATAAAAAGGAAGTACCAAGTGTGATATCTTCAATATCATCTTCAGATAATATGGGGAAACTATTCATGATGTCCAGGTAGTTAATCGTTTCCCATTTTGCTGGAGATTTGATCAAATGATTTCGTTGAAGAAACTAAGAAATGAAGGAAACAACTATGTTGGAATGAATATGATTATATGGCTTCCATTACTTGTTCAAATGTGTTCTTCTTCTCCAGTAACAGTAGCAATTGTTGCCCTATTTTCTCATTTTGTACAGCGGAAGTTACCATTGGCGACCGATATCGATTAATGAGCGAGCATGCAGTTGAAATATATGCTTCTAAATGAGGCAATGACGAGTTTTGTATGGTATTAGACAAGAACTTGAATTGTTTCGTTTGTCCATTTACTGCCTCCACAATCCATCTAACTTTTGTTATGCATCTCGGCTGATTGGATTCATTGGTTGAGAATTGTCGACGACCATCAAGGAATGGTGGCATAGCTACTTCTAAACCCAGATCCTCCATGATATTAGCTGAGTCTCTAAATCCTCTGTCGACCACGACAACATCGTTCTAAATCATATAAGCAACATGTATGCGCTTACCATTTCAAAAGAGGAACTCTACCTTCCTCAACCACTTGAGTATATTATCCGCATTCCTATACAGTATGTTTTTCATAATGGAAGCCTCGTTGTTAGCAAAATTCGACAAGGAAGGTCCAATACATGCAATGATGTGACAGTGGTGGACACTATCATCATTGAACGTTTTTCTTTGAAATTTATTGTTTCGTGATTTCTAGTACAAAAAACAGTTATGATTAAGGAAGGGGTCCCGCCATCTAGATTTTCCTTCAACGTTCCCAGTTTGTAGAGGATACTTCGAAGTATATGTCTTGAAGTTTTCTCGGCTTACTGACACTATTTGGCTGAGAAAAAAATTAATCACTTAAAAAAATGTTGTTAAATTTTTGAACAAGGGACTATTATTATTGTTATAAATTCCTGTCCATTCTCCATTGATCACAAGAATTTGGTTCTTGCTAGATCGATAGAGAAATGTGTTGAGAATATTTACTACGAGAAAATATATAAAAAGTTTTGTTCTTTCTTTCCTGTTATGAGGGGAAGACTTGAAGAAAAAATGCAAAACTTGAAAATATCGCTGTTTTTGGCTCAGCGAATATTTTTTCACCTCACCTTACGGCTAGTTTCGCTCCAAGCAAGTATTTTGAAACAAAACTCTGGATACAAAAGTTGTTCAGAATCGAATTCCAGAGTCCCTCACTAGAGCTTTTTTTTAAATTTTCTTTTTTTAGTTTTTAAATTGAAAAATATGAAATTTTAAAATTTTAAAAATCGTAAAATTTAATTTAAATACCAAAACCAGAAAATTTTAAAATACACTCTCGTGAGGGACTGCAGAATTCGATTCTGAACAACTTTTGTATCTAGAGTTTTGCTTCAAAATGCTTGCTTCGAGCGAAACTAGCCGTAAGGTGGGGTAAAAAATACTTTTAGCTCTGAAGTTTCCTCGGGAAGGTGAACGTTACATTTCTACGCCAAACTTCATTCGGGAACGGTGAAAAGTGTTTCTCCTTATACAAGTTAATGTTCTCTATCGAACTACACTAGAACCACCTCTTCATATCAAAAATTTAAGTTTTTATTGAAATTTTGAAAATAGGGCAAAAAACCCGAAAAAAGTTAAAAATTTTTCTAATCAAAAACTATAAATCCGGGAACGAAAAGCTATGTTGGGACATATACTTCGAAGTGTCCCATACAAACTGGTGGAAAAAAACGGGTGGGGGGGTTCTTTTGGTCATTCCCCTTAAAATGACCAAAAGAATCAATTATTCTTTACTTGAATATAGACATAGGTACTATCGATAACAACTACTGCTGTGTCATTATCATTGCCACACATCAATTGCTTAGCAATATTAGTTGTATGTTGATCGATTATTTCACGACGAGAAATATGACTAAAACCCAAGTTGTACAGTACGAATTCAGCCATTAATGCAGATCTTGCGCTTTCAAGAATTCGTGATACTGTTTTTTTGTCAGGTAATTCAAATAGTATAGCAAGTATTTGGTTCGACAAACCAAGACGAAGCTTGCATACCAAGATGGCAATGGCAGTACGAATCGATCTATTACTCGAATTGCGCATTTTCGATTGTGATAATCGTCTAATACGATCATCGAATTGACTTTTCGAAAGACTTGTCAAAGCTCGATATTCATCGTCAGACATTGATTGAGAATTATCGAAATCGAACCGCTTTTTGTTTTTATATAACATCTGCCATTTGCTTAACAAAAGCTGGACATCAACAGCATTTAGTTTTTTCATTTGTATGGAGTACGGTGCAATTTTATCCATTGCTTCTGATTTGAAACGACGATTTGTCACATGATCAGAACAACATCTTGCACCTTCTGGTATGAAGACATTTTTCTTCAGTAACAACAAATAACAATCTTCTGAAGAAACAGTCATTGCTTCTCCACCAATGCTTGCCCGACAGACACAACACATCCTATGCATAAATAAATCATACATAAAAACAAAACAAAGCATACACTAAACGATACACTACATGCATGTATTACACCCTCATCACTTCTCTTGAAAAATACTTTGAGCATTGTTAAGGCAAGGTTTTGCATTAAATTAACCGCGTTCTCCGAAAACAAACCTTCTTCTAGATGCTAACTTTCACATATTCATCATTTGTTCTATACGACGACTTCAAAAAAATAAAAAAGGACAAAAGGAAAGAATATATAATATCATTTAAATATACATACAGATGTTTGCAATATAAAGCTAAGATGTGCATAACCTTTTTCTAATCTAACTATGTACACATTCATAACACTTCAGTTGTGTTATGAATATGTAATCAACACGGTGGAGGCCTCAATTAGTAAGGCTGTCGTATGGTTTTGTGATTCGGGATGCGGTTAGAGTCCTTCCATCGTCAAATTCTAGTGCATCCCGTTTTTCTAAACTAAGTGTGTAATCACCCTCATATGTTTCTTCATTATACTATCATATTTCTTCTACAGAATCGAAAAATTGTCACGTATATTAGACACATATATACACTTTGACTTTCACAGCACATTACAAAGTGAACCCGTTCTTGCTAGCAGCAGTAGGACTTGACTTGCTTCTCCATAAATTTAACTGGCTATGGAGAAAGCTGTTTCACTTGGTATACTATTAGCTGAGGTTTTCATACAACGTTCTGCAATACTATTCATTTCACACAGGATCAATACCGTTCCGTTTGACACAAAATAAAGTTCACGTTCACCAGCACTCATGTTCACGTTCAAAGAAAGTCATGTTTAGGCTTCACGTTCAAGGGCCGCCAACGTGCTTTAACGTTCACGCTCGAAAAAGGCACTGAAAAGGAACGCTGAATGTTTGCCGCCCTACACGGGTTTCCCCCATGAACATGATTTATCATGTGTCTACAAAGGACGGGAGCAATTATCTGATGGAATCAGCCATGCCCGAATTTGATCGACTAATCAAAGGCTAGGTGTAGAATGAAGAGCAACATTTCTAGATATTTACTAGACCTTAGAACCCATCATTCACTGGCGTCTCCGTTCATAAAATGATCACAACATATTATGAGCCCATCCTACTTGATACTATTATTGAAAATAGTGTGGGATGAACAGATTTCAATAGCGTACTAAATTATGCACTTTTTATAATTTTTTCTTTCCAGTTACGGTGTTCCTTTTTTTATGAAGTTTTTTCTCTAAAAATGGAATATAGTGGAAAAGCCCTCAATGAGATATTTCGTTGTTAAATGGGCAAGTTTCAATAGTAGGTGAATCTCACTTTCGTTTCATCTGCTGTGCTTTTATCTTTCGTGTTAGGAATGTATTCTGATCTCCCGACCGACTAATCATACATAATGATATCAAGAGAGAGAGAAACAATTTAATATACAATGTCTCAACACTTTATACATAACGCCAAGACATGTGTCTGTGTACATAGTATTCTCTGCCTACTATTTCTGGTTTACAAATGTTGTCTGTCGATAAGTATTCCTGTAAATGGGATATCCTTTCACAAAAACGACTTGCAACATCCTTTTAAAATGATAGTTTTGTAGAGAAATTTCTCTACATGATGGTGTATAGTAGTTAATTTTAAAGTTTCTTGAGCGTTTTTGATAGAGAGGCGTATCGGTTAAAAACCACAGTTATAACCGACCGTAGGTTTGAGGAAAATGCTTTCTAAAAGGAACCAAAAAACTTCTAAAATACCTTCTATATACTATCTTGTGGAGAAAACATTTCTCTACAAAACTTCCGTTTTAAAAAAAGTGTTACAGCTCGTTTTTACGAAAGTACATCCCATTTATTGTAAATTTTTGAAAAATACGAAAAAACCCCGATACACTCCTAATATTTACCCGTATTTTTATTAGAAGATGATTTTATTCTCAAATGACAAGTTTTGTGCATAAGTGGCTTTTCTTTGGTGATACTTGCATTTTTTCGGTTGTTTTTGTTGTTAAGTAGTAGAAATAAATAAATGCAAAACAAATATACAAAAATAAACGATATAAAATCCATACGTAGAATCAGTACTGCAAAAACCTCTACGACACCTTTTTTGAAAGCAGGAGAAAAAAGTCTCGTACGAAACCTTGTTTCCACAGAACGTAAAAAGGGTTTAGAAACGGTTTCAATTCTCGAAACTCTTTTTAAGTTCAGCATGATACTTTTTTTTTTTTTGAGAGTATGTATCTGTAGTTTGTTGAATGTATGGAGAATGATTTTAGTCACTATAGATGCACTATATTTAAGTCGCAATGTACGGAACAATGAAATATTGTAAACTACTATGGTAGAATACCGGAATACTTATCGACAGACAACATTTGTAAACCAGAAATAGTAGGCAGAGAATACTATGTACACAGACACATGTCTTGGCGTTATGTATAAAGTGTTGAGACATTGTATATTAAATTGTTTCTCTCTCTCTTGATATCATTATGTGTGATTAGTCGGTCGGGAGATCAGAATACATTCCTAACACGAAAGATAAAAGCACAGCAGATGAAACGAAAGTGAGATTCACCTACTATTGAAACTTGCCCATTCAACAACGAAATATCTCATTGAGGGCTTTTCCACTATATTCCATTTAAAACTTCATAAAAAAAGGAACACCGTAACAGAATACTGAATGATATTTAATAGTCGTGAGGAATTGTGAAACTAAGAAAGAAAGATTGAAAACTACAATCTATAACATATAGCAGATGCAGTAGAAACTTAATCAAATTTGATTCGACAAATGTTTTTTTAGAAGTGGTTCTAAGGTCTAGTAAATATCTAAAAATGTTGCTCTTCATCCTACACCTAGCCTTTGATTAGTCGATGAAATTCGGGTATGGTAATATCTGATAGAATCAGCCATTGCAAGTTTTGAATGCTCTATGGAATGGAACAATTTCATTTTTTGCTAAATATATATGTATTATCTTTTGTATATATAATTAGTAAAAATATTTCTTCTACAACTAGACGTAATGAAGTTATACATAATGTTTAGCATACATGTTATTTGTCATGATTTATTGATATGGATCTAAAAATAGTAAGACAAAATGCAAGCAAAAACACTAACACAGCGTTGACTCGAATTGTGGGAAAAGAAGAGAAAAATATAGTATAGAAATTGTGATAGTAATAAATCAGAACAGACAAATCTTATCGTACACCAGAACCGATTATACGGTGATGTCCCACTCAAAATAAAATATTAGCTTGGTACGCTTTTTAGCACAGATCATCTAATAGTTAACGTAACACGACATTTTCGTAACAGGACCCCCAACTCTTCCTCGAATTTTCCATAAAAGACATTGGGTATCGTTGCCAGTGTGTGGTGGGATGTGGAGGTGTGGACAGTTAGGGAGTGAGGTCGAAAAGTAGTTGCACACGAAACATATTTTCATGACTTTGTATGAATTTGCCTGGTCTATGTTTTGTTAGTTTTCTAAGGTTTCGTTTTTTTAAAATCTATTTTCGAAAAGGAAGGGGTGCGATAACTGATGAAATCGACCAATTCGAGAAATCTCGTTTCTTGTATGTCAAACTATCACAAAAGGTGTCCAAAAGTGATCTCTGGTAGAATTACTCCAAATGCACTTGTTTGAGCTGCGCACAGGCCGCTTGAAATAGTTAATAGCTGTCACATACATAACGTCCGACTGTTGATGATAATCAGCTCTTTTTCTCTACCAATCCGATGACTGACCAGATTAGTTTGCATAGGGTTCGATAGAGCTTTTCAAGCGCTACAAAACGGTATATAAACATCCAAGAAAAAATATTGGCCGGTATGACTTCACATGGACAATATTGTCCTCATATTTCTATAATACTGATATTGTTCACTGAAATCGTGTGTCAACGTGTACCAATGTGCTCATCCGCCAAGTTAGTTTGCATATGGTTCGATAGAGCTTTTGAAAAGTTACAAAAGCATAGGTACCAATCTGCTCACTCGCCAACGAAATATATGAAGGACGTACTGATTCGAAAAATTCAAAAGATACGTAATCATTACATGTCAGACAGGACATGGGGTGTCCTACTCATAGAAAGGAAATCAAAGGAAAAGGATAGATGCTTGTTCGAAAATATATTCATCGGGCAAATATGTAATACATAATGTTAGCATACATGTTATTTGTCATGATTTATTGATATGGATCTAAAAATAGTAAGACAAAATGGAAGCAAAAACACTAACACAGCGTTGACTCGAATTGTGGGAAAAGAAGAGAAAAATAAAGGAGAAATTTATTGATAAAAAATAAGTACAAAACATATTTTTTCATTATAATCTAATCATGTTCAAAATCTACTCTAATTTCTGTTAAACAAAATAAATTGTGAAATGGTACAGCTATACATTTAGGATGAATATTTTCAACTTTTATTATGTCAAATCTATTTGTCATTATTTATAATGAAAATAATTTATATAATATTTCAATTATTTCTTGGGAAATCGTAAATGATCAAATTTGGAAATTTTGTAGTAATGAACTTCTTTTTAATGGAAGATTTTTTAATGATACTCCGATATCCCGTCTGTTTCAACTACAAAATACTCATTTTTATTTGAAATGCTTGTAATGTAAGAATTACACAATAATGGATCATTGTATATTTTAATGGCATATTTAGATAGATTTGACTCTAAATATGTTGACAAAATCGCATCAGTTGTAAAAAGTCCCATTACTTCTATATTTAGATAGATATAATCTTCGATTTTGGCACACGAATATCTGAGTATGTGAAAACAAGAAAAAAGTATGAAAGATCGTAAGTCATCAGTAACAAATTTTTTCTGTTTAAAAGTATACTAAACTTTTAAACAGTTATGATATGGTTCAAATGGTTAAACCCTTTAAACGTTTTTCACGGATAGTTATACCTTTTTTTGGTTTTTCTCAAATGGAAAATACTTTTTAGGGT